GTCTTCGCCAATTTTTCCAAATTATCCGACTTAAAATTTTCAATTTTTTCTAATAAGCTGTGGTAGATAAACATTAGTTTAAATCCGGGATGGAGAACTTGTGAAAATGGATTAACAATTCTTCAAGGTCAGTTTTCTTGTGACAATTGTGTGTATTTATGTTAAAATTGATAATACAACACGTCTATTACATACATTCAGACGTATTTTAAACAAAATGTCAGTTGAAGTGTAGACCGTCACCGGTTCGAGATTTACACGTTTTCCAGAATCAAAACATGAAGGCTTGCGAAGAGAAGTGGATGTAGGCGAAAGCCTGTCCACTTCTCTAAAGAGAATAGTCTCTCAGTTAACTTTCATTTGCATCTTTGTAAAATAATCGGCTTATTTAATAATTTTAAAGTTTTCCTATTATTATGGTAATCTATTTTCAAATAAAACAAATGAAAACAAGTGAACCTGAAATCAAATATCCCCCTGTTAAAAAATAAAGTTACCCTTTCTGCTTTGCTGATTTGTTGAGGAAAGCATCATTTAGAGGTTTATCAGTTGCTGATCTTCGCCAAATGAAACTTTGTTGTCCGGCGATATTTATATGGGAAAAACATTTTGATCAACAAACCCCTAAGCAAATATTCTACCAATAGCCTACCATTCATTTCCCTGCCAATTTGACTTCAGGAAAGAATATTTACAATTTCTTTATGTTTAGGAATTTACTATTTATGTCATACCTATTCAAAGTCTGTCAAAAATGTAAAACAACTTTTTGGTTTTATTTTCATGAAGTATCTGTTTTGAAAGTTTGGCAAGTCTTGCAATTCTCGAGAGGGGCGTTAAAGAAACAAACACTAGGCCCGGGAAGAAATGTTCGGAGTATGATGCCTTTGGGTAATCTTTACTTTCCCGAACTCATTGTCTCTTTCAAGATAGAGCCTGCGACGTGAGGATCAACTCCTTACTCCGTGACTCTAAAGCAAACGCTCTTACCACTGCGCCACGCGGGCGATTAATTATAATAAGTATTGGACCCTCTATCACTTTGTGGAGTTGTTGGCTCCGGGTTAGGGTTTCAAGTGTGTCTATAGATCATCTAGTGAAAATGCCTCAAATTTTGAGAAATGTTCTCCACATGTATTTTATTTTCAGTACTTTATTTTCCAGGGGCAATTTGTTCTTTAGCTAGATATAGCAAGGTACTACATTTTCCTTAAAGCTTTCAGTATTAAAGGCTTTCTTTGGCATTGATCAATTCTCTTGTTTTTCCTCCCAGATTGAAAACATTAATAAGCTTGAAACAATAACTGCAAAGTCAGTTCTTTCGTCATTTTAATTATACTAGATGAAATCCCGCGCAAGCGCAGGAAATTAAATTTATACCACTACCGATAGAAAATATATTGTAGTTTCCACTGACAGCCTACATGCTTATTACAGCAGGAAGAAATACTTTGTTCAAAATCCCGCATGAAGTAGATGTACGTCTCAACCCTTGTAAAAACTTGAAAAATAACAATTTCATTAATTGACGTTAATTGTGAAACCTGTAATACTGTGTTATGGATATTGAACTTCAGATGCTCTTATTTCATTTCTGATAAGAATAAAAGCAGCGAGTATGCACAATTTACTGATAAATTAATTTCTTTTTTGGGGTGGGGGGGGGGTTAAAGATGTAAAATTTTGTCCTTTGAGCAATACATTTCATTTTTTTGTTCTGAATAGTCTTTTGTATCAACTACTCGGCCTATTAGGACGTTAAAACCTCATTTTTACACAGGTACATGGGTTTTGCTTTATAATTATGTATGAACCTTATTGATATGTAAAAAAGTACATATAAATAAGGTACGAACATATTTAAAAACCAAGACCCGAGAACCTGGGAACCCCCTTTAATTGTATTTGAACAATATCTTATTCATTAATTTTCTTTTTTCATGTAAGCAAGTGTATTACGAAGTACAAATTGTACTTCGGGTTCGTTGCCACAATTCTCTCAGTAAATTTATTAGGAAAACCTACTACATACATGTATATGTAAAAGTCTTTCGAGATATAAATATATTCACTACTTATAGATTTACCATTATTTCAATGACCATTCACACAAAAGCTTTTTTTTATGTTCATGCAGCTTTTCTTTTTTAACATCGGGCTCGATGCTATATGATGTTCTAGAAGCTTCCGTCAATATATAGGTCGGTGAATGGCGTGAATAATTTGCACATTTCCCTTTTTAATCGGTTATCACAACTAATTTCTTTTCTATCATTTAAATCAAATTTTGATTGAATAATTCAGTGATGACGTTTTATGAAATAAATAAACGATTGCTTGTTGTCAGTTTCATTAAAAATTACCAGTAACTTAGATCCGCTAACCGGAAACTCCACAGTACTCACGTGTTTGCTATTTCATGGCTGTTAACAGAAAATGAAAGTAGACTTAATTTAATGTAAGATACTTACAATGCGAGTGAAATCTAAATATAGTTTACGAACATCATCTTGTACCTAGTGTATTGTTAGAGGAGTGGTAAGAACTCTGGTGCACCCGTTTCGGAGTTTAATTGCAAAATTTATTAATTTATAAGTATAGATGTACTGATTTATTTTAAAATGGATAAATTTTGGTTTCGATCTACTGATTATTAGGAAAATATTCCCCTTTCCTTTTTCATAGGATTCCGATACACCTACAGAATGTTAAAATATTATGTTAACGATCAATGAAATTTTCACTTCCCAAGTTCGCCCAGATTCATGCCGAATGCCAATCTAAAGCACCCTCTTTCTTTTATTCATACTTTGATAGTGAATGGTTTTAATGAATTGTTTCAAAACAAATAGTTTTTACAAGTTAGAAAGATGCTGAATCCTTTAATCCATGCATCTCTGATATAAAGTAGATAAATTGTTATCGTAGTTTTCAAATGATAATACTTCAGAAGTATTTATTTCTCTGTGTACACATTTTGCACAAGACTGTTCGCTCATATTTAAATGACCATACAATACAAGAAATGTTATGATTTTACTACTTTTCTTCAACGCATAATAAAATTTCAATAATTTCCCTTATTTCTTTTAATGAAATATATGGAGATAACGAACAGTATTCAAGCTCAAAAGTCCATTAAACATTACAAAATAGGTGCAGAGCAAACACGGACCTCCAAAACATCAGAGGTGGGATCAGGTGCCATGGAGGAGTGAGCATCCCCTGCCGACCGGTCACACCCGCCGTGTGTTCCTTGTCATGATCAGGAATAACGGAAAAATCCGTCGACAATTCAGCGTGTAAATAATGGACTGACAATTAGTATGAAAAACGTCAGTCAGCATTTGACTCAATGATAAATTGTATTTGCTGACAAGGTCATTGTATCGACCGTAGGCTCCGTGTCGCAGTAGGTGCTGGCACGAAAAAGATCCCTCACTGCTCAATGGCCGTAAGTGCCGAGTATAGGACAAAATTTGCAGCTCTCCACCGGTAAGTGGTGGCGTCTCCATATGAGTGAAAAATTCTCCAGAGGGACGTTAAACAACATACAAACAAACAAACAAAAAACTTACGAAATGATGACTTTAAACGAGACAGCTGATATTCTTGTTTCATCAACTTGTTTGTCAATAATTTACCTCGTTTTAGAAATTGTACATACGTAGAGCATGCTCTTGCGTATCGAATCAACTGAGTACAACCCGTATGCTGGTGATGAAGGTATATTGCTGCACAAGTAAGGGAAGTTGACGATTGAAAAGTTAAAGTCATCACGTTTATCATAAAGCATGGTTGTTAGATTACCATTTTCAAGTAAAATATCCAAATATGAAACAGATGTTACAGACTCTGTGGTATCTTTTATTTGAAGCTCACCAGGATATATCGTATCGACACAAGAATGGAAAGAGCCATTGTTAATTGACAATACATCGTCGATATATCTAAATGTCGAATTGAGGGCCACAGCAAGTGTTTTCTTCTTTTCACGTACAAGATTTTGGACAAATTCTGCTTCATATGAATACAAAAAAGGTCTGCTAATAACGGAACGCAATTGATTGTTGGAAGACCTGTAGACCTTTTCACAAAAATTCTTACGATTTATCGTAAGATTTTGAGTTACGATTCTCTTAAGTTAATTCTTAAGTCAGTTTCACGAACGCATTCGTAAGATCGAAAAAAATCTTAAGATAAATCTTGCGATTTTCGTCTACGACGCACTTAAGATTTCACTTACCAGAAAAAGCTTCCCTGACAACGTACTTTCAATTTCATTTTCTCATGCGTATTGCATACTTCCGTGTTTACATCTGTCGTCTGAGAACTATGTCAATTATGTCGAATTCTAAAAGAAAGCCAAATTGGAGTGGATCTGAAATTGAGGCTCTCGCACAGGCTGTGGCTGAGAATATAAGAACAGTGAAGGGGAAGTTTACCTCCGCCCTGACGCAGGACGTGAAGAATAAGTGCTGGAATGCCATAACGGAATGGTAAGTTGTTACGGTTTTCCCCTATCTAAATATATACACTAGCTAAACTAGGACAACTTCCGTTGATCTTTAACAAAGAAGCAATAGACTGGATATAAATGTTGAAGATATTTTTGTTGCACTTTTAATGCACTGTCCTTATTTCTGGCATGCATGTTAAAAAATTGTTCGCTCAAAGCGTGCACTTCTTTGCTCTACAAGATGGCAGCCAAGGGGAATAACCCCGAGGCATAGATAAGCCATCTATTGTCTCAGTGTAAAGAATTGTCATGTTATAACATATTATGTGTTTGATTTTAACATGTTGTTGCATTCCATTGCAAGCTTTCATCATAAATATACTTATCGACAAGCCTCATTCCGACTTTGTTTTATTATTTGCAGCATTTGCAAATTTTGCATAAAGACCTACGTGGAAACTTACCAAGCAAAGCCACTTGAACGGCTAATTTCCCCAACCTGATTACAAATTCCTAAATCCATCCCATATCTAAACTCGTTTAGAAGGTTTATTCAAAATTAACAATACAACATGACAGTACAACAGCAACGCAATGATACAATATGCACATTATGACACATTGTACAGTAATTAACAGATATGAATGTTCAGTTAATCATTAGACAAGATGTTACATATTTCGAAGCCTTGACAACAGTTCCACATAATTATGCAGAGCTTCGGTCCAATCACTGGCATCTGACATGCCTCTATTCACAAATATTTGATTTGCTAGTCCATCAAACTGTACAGAACCACTTATACTACTAACTTTTAACTTCATTCAGGGCTAAGGCAATATCGTCTTCATTTATTGGCTGCAAACAGTCTTGGCCCCCTGAAAGAAAACATCTTGAAGCACTGTGGCGTTGGGTTTCTTTCAAAATATTAAATTCGAATCTACAAAAGTATTTGGTATTTCGAAAAAAAAAACTATTACCTAATGAGTGTAAAATGTCTGGACGGCCATTAGGACATTGTGCGACTCTGCTATGGGATATGAAATGTGTGTTCCACTCCTCTACTATCTGAGATAACTCTAGTTGTAACACTGGCATGAAACAATAGCGCAGAGAGTAACTGAAATAAAAGTAAATTGCCATTTATAAACGTAGACTTTTAACACACAGTATATAGTCCCTATTTTAAACTGTTGGATGATGTTTTAGGCATGTTTTAAACAAATACGGTGAGATGTAAAGAAAAACAAACATTTCATTGATGATACCACGATGGATAACTCCCATAAGTTCAAGATCTTTAAAGAAATGCATCCACCATTGACTTTTACGTCTCCTAAATAAACTCCACCAGGCCTCTATTCTCTGCGTATTGTGTAGAAAAACAATACAAACACAAGTAAAGTTTTGCTTTGAAATCTTAAAATAAAAAGCAACACAAAAATGTTTATTATATACATTATGATTTCTCACCTGGTTGAAATCAGAACGTGAAACTCTAAAACTGCTGAGTCCGGCAAAATCATCAGCAGCATCGTGTCGAAATAAACAATGAAGAGCGCCCATGGTTATATTTTCAGTTCCCGGGTCTGCTTGCAAAATTAGAGGACACCCTGGTGGAAAAAATGCAGTATCTATTATATTTTTGTCATAAAAAATTAAGGCAAGTAAAATGCTAAAGTTGGTGGTTGTGAGGGATAAATCTACCTTTCATATTTTGAACACATTCCACATAATTTGAGGCTACGATGGCTGGATCATTGTTTGAAGGACCCTCTTGTAACCACATCAATTTTCTGGAATATCTGCATTTGATATTTATCATCTATTATGAATTGATACTTTCTTTTACCATTTTATATTTCTCATTGCAACAAAGCGGTAAATGAAAACATATACAAAATAAATGTTCTATCTATCCGGGCGCATAATAAATAAAATAATATTTTGTAGAAGATGGCGCTATATAGAATAATCTAGCTAATGCTGTGCTGTTTTATGCATTATTTTGCAGTTGGTTTCTGAACAGGACAAAATATTATGTTGATGAAATGTTGGGGTACTATGTCTATCTGCACGCTAACATGCAATCCATATGAAGTCAACAAAGGACTCACCCATCAATACACCCATGGATGGCAAATCCATATGGCTTTAATTTGTCATATCTGAAATTTAAAGAAAAAAAATTCACTGACAAAGAACTATTACAATATGATATTTCAGTCGGAAGTGTTTCTCAATACATAGATAAAAGAGAATACCCAACGACATGCCAGATTTGATTGGGTCCGATTGAATGGTAAGTTCTTCTCAGGATTCGCCTCCTCCTTCTGATTTTAGTGCCTTCGGGGTCCAATTCCCTGAGTAATTTCATGACAACATCCCTATAGAAAATCTTTGGATCGTGAAAAAGGCAAGAATTACCTTCATAAAAATTGCTGTAGAGGATTTTGAAAATAACGATAAGCAGATCAAACATCATCTGACATAATTGCTGTGTATTATTTAAGGAGGTTGGATCCTGCCATCAAAAGTAATGAGAATTTTTTATCAAATAAATTTTTAGAATTTACACACATAGCTTAATTAAAAATCAAAACAAAAAATGGGGGTCAATGCACTTCTTTTGGCGCTCCAGAGCATTTATTTGACCTTTTTGCACTGTAAATACGTCTTACACATAAATCAATTTTTAAAGTTTTTCCTCCAATATTTTTTATTCAAGTAAATTATGGTAACAAACACAGCCTTATTTCATCTTGAATAGACACATTAAAATTTGTGATAACGAAAAAATTTTCAAATTACTCCACACGTTCAATTATTTGACCTTTTTGCACTCAAAAAATTTCATTTTTCTGGCATTAAAAATTTAACAAGCAAAAAAATAATTTGAAAGTAATGACATTTTACTGAATTTAAGAAGAATGGTTAAAAGCATCTTATATATTCAGAAAATAAAATAAAAAGTGGGGGTATGTGATGTTAATTTTTAGATATTACTAAAATAGTGCTAATTTTAAGCTTAAAATAGGGATGTTTTTTTCTTGATTTTCACAATATATTTGCTATATTTATGAAATATGATGATAGAATTCATGATAGTTTATTTGATATATAATTTAGGACCAGTATAAAACAGTTCACTGTACAAAATAACTCTGTGTGCAGTCTGCATGGAAAAATAGGAATCCAAAATTAACATACTTTAAATACTTTGAAAGAGAAAAAATGAACATTTTCTTCTAAAAAACCTTCCGCCACAAAATATAGTTCCTCACTTAATGCTTTTGGTATGGAATTTTATCATGGAGTTTTAACTGAATATAGTTTAATTGGCATTGTAGAATCCAAATTTATTGAAAGAATTAATACTTCATGCAGAATTTTTGAAATATAGGTTAAGATATAAATCTGGTCAAAACCTCAGGAGCGAACCTTGTTAAGATTTCAGAAAAAAAAATACTAGAAACTGATAACCAAATAAAACGTCACATAATACTCCGTATTATACTGTACATGTATATGCAGCATTGGAAAAAAAATGGTTTGAAGGTCGGTAAAAACGAAATATTTGAGCAGTATGTTAATGTTTTAGAAACCAGTTCATTTTTTAACTCTATCATAAGCCTTTCAATGCATTTTATCACCTATGCTAGTAGTCCGAAATATCCGACGTTTTCCAGACTTTTTCAAGATGTTGATATTTTACGTCTTGGCACGTAAAATATCAAAATCGTGAAAAAAAAACCCAGCAAAACGTCAAATATTTCGGACTGGTATGCTAGTACCAATGGATGAATTCCATGTAGGATAATGTGCCGCACTTCTGCGTCCTTTTTAAACCTTATAAAACAAAAACTTTTCAAATTATCCGACATAACTATGTGTTGATACGCGACTACCCCTTTTCTCCTGCTTTTAGAGCAATACTAGTATATTTTCGTCCATCAGTTTATTTTGCTTTATCACATGATTATTTAATTGCCCTTCTGCATCCTTCACAGGGTTTTATTATACTCAGGTGAACGTCAAGACTCTTGTTTGCTTATAAAAACACATTGCGTTTGTACGGTCATGATTTTCTAACGTATATTTTTGAAGCTGAAATTAAAAAAAAAAACTAGATGACCTATAGTTGAATATACTCTGGAAGAGTAGAGATTTGTTTCTTTTCTTTTTTTGCAATTGTTATTCTCGTATAAAAGAAGAAATAAAGCATTTAAGCATTTCTTGTCTATATATTTAAAATATAAATGTTGAATGTATAATTTTAAAAGCGCTACATAAAAATGAAAATGTAATGAAAGTACAATGGATGGACAAAGTATAAAGTTTTATTTACCTTTGGACGGCGTAACCTTTTCTTCGAAGAATAGATGTTAAAGATCTGTACCCAACAGTCTCGGGAAGATTAGGTAATAGATTTTGAAAAAAAAAGTGTTATGTCATTTTAACATATGATTATTGTTTTTTTTTTCCTTTCCACTTGTATACATAATCACAATGTTGTTATTAACTTAGATGTGAAAATGATACCTTACGTAAAATCGTTTTTGAGTTTGGATAGCTACCATCTAAACAAATTTTATTTTTTCGAAAAGAAGTTGGATTGTCTGTAATAGTTAAGAAGTTAATGTTTCATTCATAACTTAGCATACTTTAATTTTACCTCTATAACTTGTTTGGTGACATTATGCGGCAAACTTGATGTGTTCCGACGAAGTTGGCAACCTTGTTGATTTATATATAGAGTGTGGGGTTGATTTTATAAAATGTTTGTTTTAGGTAATTTTTCCAATTGTTGGTATAGATTATATCACAAATATGTCATTGAAAGATAATTTATGAGAAAAACAAGAGGCCCAAGGGCCTTAACGGTCACCTGAGTACAATACAACAATTTAGAGGATCCATAGAGTATTAAAATGAAATGAAAGGTGAAGCTTTGTTGCCCAAAAGCAAGAAAAATAGGGTGATCAGGATCAACAAAATAATTAGTCTACTATTCATTAACAGTTCATAAACTAGGTTCTAATCTGTTCCCCATTTATCACTATCACCATACAGCATATTAACAAAATATCAGTGCTTTTTTACTATTTGAATTCTTTGTTGTAATCTCTTACATTGGCCTCTCTTGGTCTTTGATGAACATTTAAGTTATTTTTGTCTCATTTTTATTTATCTATTACTTACAAGTCCACATGATCATTAAAACTAAGAAAATACTTTTTGTATTATACAATAAAAATTCTTGCATAATTCTCTTATTCTATTAATTTTTCAAGTACATTATTTACAGTGATTAATTATCAAAAGTAAACGGCAAAGGGGAATAACTCCTCCCAGTAGAATGCAAATTAATTGAGCCCTGGCTAGGACCAGAACACTTGACCAAATGGTCCAGATGTTCAAAAATCTGGTAAAAATACCCTTCCTTATTACAACTTTTACACTTTTTGCCTCTGATATGCCCAAATGCAGAGAAGATTTTTAAAGAAATAATGCATTTTCACTACAGATTCACTATATTATCAATAGAGCCCCTCCCCCCCCCCCTTCACCACCGAGAAACACCAGAGCCTCTCACCCTGGGACCAGAAGTTTCAAGTTTGCTCATCATAAGTAATCACTTTGTTTAACTGCTTAACATTAAGGAGCAGACAGGATTATTTAATAGAATTAATGCATTTTCACTACATTATCAACAGCCCCACCCTTATACCAGCACATTTGACCCAGGGGTTATGCAATTCATTACTCTGGAAGAAGCACTCTTGCTCATCATAACTATATACTTAGCTTCTTTGCTTTTTAACCAGAAGCAGAAAAGAATATTTTCAAAGAAATTTTGATTTTTCACTATATAATCAATAGACCCCCCCCCCACCTTTTGACCAGAACCCTTGACCCTGGGGCCATGAAATTCACAATTTTAGAAGAGGCATCCTTGCGTATCATAACAATGTACTTAGTTTGTTTAAATAGTACCCAGGGGCAGAGAAGAAGATTTTCAAAGAAATAATTCACCTTCACTGTAGGAGCTATATAGCCCCACCCTAGCACCAGAACCCCTGTCCCTGGGGCCATGAATTTCACAATTTTGGAAGAGGTGTCCTTGCTTATCATAACAATGTACTTAGTTTGTTTAAATAATACCCAGAAGCAGAGAAGAAGATTTTTAAAGCATTAATGCATTTTCACTATATAATAAATCGAGCCCCGCCCTAACATCAGAACCCCTGATCCAGGGGCCATGAAATTCACAATTTTGGTAGAGTCACTCTTGCTTATCATAACTATGTATTTCATTTGTTTAAATAATACCAAGGAGTAGAGAAGAAGATTTCTAAAGAAATAATGCACTTTCACTATATGATCTATATACCCCCCCCCCAGCACCAGAACCCCTGACCCTGGGGCCATGAATTTCACAATTTTGGTAGAGTCACCCTTGCTGATCATAACTCTGTATCTAATTTGTTTAAATAATACCCAGGAGTAGAGAAGAAGATTTTCAAAGAAATAATGCACCTTCACTATATGATCTATATGCCCCCCCCCCCCCAGCACCAGAACCCCTTACCCTGGGGCTATGAATTTCACAATTTTGGTAGAGTCACCCTTGCTGATCATAACTCTGTATCTAATTTGTTTAAATAATACCCAGGAATAGAGTAGAAGATTTTCAAAGAAATAATGCACTTTCACTATACGATCTATATAGCCCCACCCTAGCACCAGAACCCCTGACCCTGGGGCCATGAATTTCACAATTTTGGTAGAGGGCTCAATGCTTATTACAATCATGTCAACAGTTTGACTGCTTGATGTCCAGGAGTAAAGAAGAAGATTTTTAAAGATTGCATTAATTTTGATGGTTTTAGCCCCACCCCTCAGGCCCCAGGGGGGCAGGGACCATGAAATTCACAAATTTTGTTCCCCTTCACACATAGATGCCATATCCAAAAATTGGCTGAATTTGGTTCAGCGGTTTCAGAGAAGAAGCTGAAAATGTTCAAATGTTAACACACGACGCACAACGCACGACGGACGACGACGGACGAAAACAGATAGCAATAGGTCACCTGAGTGACTCAGGTGACCTAAGAAGTCGAAAATGCCCAGTGGTCTATATCGGGGGGGGGGGGGTGGTTCCTGTCCTCAAGCACCTGTGCTCTCTATATATATAAATCAACAAGGTTGCCAACTTCGTCAAAGCTTATTCAACGGAAGTAATGAGGAGAGGACTATTACCCATTTCCTCCATAAAACCAAATATGAGTGCAAGGTATAAACACTGGACACATTCTTGTTTTTTCTACGAATTTTTAATCAAGGGAATATTTCTTCTAACATTTTCCAGATTTTACGCGAAATATCTAGAGAAAAGAAGGTATTTACACAAATTGCATTTTTAAAAGGGGCATAACTCTCAAAACGAAACCTGCAAATCAGGTAGTTGAAAAATAATTAGAAACAATTCATCTATATTAGTGGTTTAGAATTCTATGCTTCCAGTACATTTGAAATATATTTTTAAAGTGTATCTCAACCAAATTTCTTCAAATGCTTATTTCAAAACAGTGTTTCAGACTTTCTGCAGAACTGCGTATTTGGGTAGAAAGTCGTATCCTCATCACTTCCGTTGAATAAGCTTTGATGAGTTTAAAAACGCTAACATCCTTGTGGAAAATTGGCCGAAACGACTGTTGAAGTGCCTAAACTTTTATGAGAGTTGGTGGTTAATGAAAAGAATATGAGTTGTTGATTTTAGGGCTATGTATAGATTTCTGAGATAATTCAACAAAAATTCCTCGGCAGTGCCTCTCGGTTTGCAGACGAAGTTGGCAACCTTGTTAATTTTTATATGTAGGGTAGGGAAGTAATTTTTATAAAATGTTTGTTTAAGTCAATTTTCCGAATTGATGATATAGAGATTATATCATAATGTGTCAGCCATATATAATTTATGAGAAAAAAGTCGAACAGGCCCGGGGGTCTGTATGGGGGGGGGGGGGGGTCCTGTCCTCAAGCACCTGTGGTGTCGACAAAAATTAAGTAAGACCTTTGGTTACATTACATAAACCGATTAGCGTATATGCTAACCGCTTAAACTATATGTATGCTGCTTCCGGTTGGTATGGTGGACTGGTCAGTATGTAATCTGATTTGATATGGAAAGCGCGATTTGTTAAGAAGTTTGCATGGTGTAGAATATGCCATATACTACCAGGACTAAGCGCAAAAGAAAAAATAGTAACCCAACCAAGTGCGTTCGTCATAAGAGCTACGTGAGTCCAAACAAAGGGGCCAATATATCTGTCATGGCGGACAATGGTAACAATGAATCTGTTGTATCTGTTGAAGTACACAACACGAATAAAGAATACAGGTAGTGGCCTTGATGATGATGTCGAGAAATGTAAAATGAATATAAGTGAAACACATGTAGAAAATCATACACAAAATAAATTAGAAAATCAGGTACGTGTCAGTGAATTCATGGCGCCACCCCCTGCCCATACAAACCCGAACACACTCCAATCCCTTGTGAAGCCAAAATGAGTTGACCAAATATTTGACAAACTATCCCAGATCGATAAAAAGTTAACCAAGGTTGATGAAATACATACAAAACTCTCAGGAATTACGCAACGGTTAAATACCTTTGAATCGGAAATAAACAATCTGAAGAAAATAACAGGTACGATGGGGAACACGATGGGGACATTGAAAAAGAACACAGAGGACGTGGGGAAAGAGGTAGATCAATTAAAACAGTCAGATAAAAACATTGAGGATTCTATCATTGATCTCAAATGCCGAAGTATGGAAAATAACTTGTTGTTCTATGGACTAGCTGAGTATCAAGGGAACAGGAGAGAGAATTGTACGGCACTTATTAACGACTTTTGTCACACCGAATTGGAAACCCCCAATGTCAGACAACATATAGAAAGAGCACATAGGATTGGACGATTAGATCGAGAAAACAGAAATCCAAGACCCATCGTGGTAAATTTCTCTTCAATCAGAGAGAGGGAAAAGATAGGAAAAAAGGCAACAAAGCTGCCATCGACTGGTTTCAGAATCCAGGAACAATATCCAAGAGAAATATATGAGCAGCGAAAACAGTTGTACCCAATACTGAATGAAGCCAGGCTCCAGGGCAAAACAGCAAAGCTCATTAAAGATAAACTTTTTATAGATGGAGTAGAGATTGACCCATCTGACCCTCAGTATAATCGACAAGACGACGACGAAGGCTGGCAAACGGTGGGACACAGATAGGACACACAGAAGAATGTATGTAGCTTAGAGCAAGAAGACCTAAAATATTATGCTGGAACATAAATGGCGGTTTTTCCAGTAAATTTGAAGACGGAAGTTTTCAAAGTTTTATCTTCACTTATGACATTGTACTACTAACTAAATGCTGG